CTCTCTTTTCCTATTTCCCTCTCTCCCTCTTCCTCTTTGAGGAGGTGTAAATATTGGAAAGAGAGAACCTGAACTGAAGAGGGAGAAACAGGAGTTCCATGTCGACTCACTACCCATCAGCTCGTGTGCAGCCAGAAACCAGAAGTGCAGAAAAAACTCTTGTAGCTTGGACAGAATTAAATTAATGGAAATAGGATTCCATGAATGTGAAAGTCTTCCTGAATATGCTAAATAAACCAAGATAGATAACTTAATGCAGTTTGTAAAGACACTTTTCCCACGGTTTATATCTTCCAGTTTGGGCAGAGGGCAGGAAAGGCACAATTCTTGGAACTCAAATAGGGAGCAGAGATTCCTAATTTAGCCTCAAAAGAGAAGTCTTTGAAAAATAATCTACCAAGAAAACTTAAGTGTAGAGTGATACCTCAAAGAAATAAATGCTGGTACCAATAGGATCATGATTCACAGATGTGCTTCAAAACCATTTCCCAAAGCAATCTGTTGCATCATTTGGGTTAATGAAGGCTGCCTGTCACACAGTTCCATCCCTGCATGACTCTGTTATACAGTGTGACTCCATAATACTACTTACGTAGAACTCGGTACACCAGAACTGCTTTGCCATAAAGGCAGTACCATATGGTGATGTCATTATTGTGAAGGCCTCATACTGTCCGCCTGTCTCGCAAAAACTGTCTGCAAACATACACCTAGTTGACACAAAAAAGCTATTCTGAAGTGTGGTTTGGAAGTGTTTTATACTGGCTTACTTTGCTTTGAATTATTCTTTCATTCGCCAAACAGCCGTTCCAGGATATTGTGTAATGGCTACGCAATTATTAATAAAGAGCTATATATAGTCTAAGCTTTCAGTCTCTTCACATCACTCACACAATGAAGGGTAGGCCTTGAGCCTAACTGCACTTGAAACGGTGACTGCTTGATGTTTCTATTAAATACTGTGCTGAAGAGGAGCCTTTCAGTAGTGTTTTCTCAGGCATTTTACATTAAGAATGAAGACCTGCCTAAAGAAGAAAGGACGCTACTTAGTGAAGAAAAACAAACATGACAAGATTCCTAAAATTCATAATTTGCATGTGAAATTCTGCAGTTAACTAATATAAAGGAGAGGTAATGCAATGTTGCATAATGATAAACTATGTCCTAATAGCAAAAGCTTACTCCAAAGCACCTTTCTTTTGGGGTGAGGGGGCCATCACTGGCTATTTCTTGCTTTTGAAGTAAACAAGAGCAAGAGCAAGTTATAAGGCTAATGTCAGGCAAGGCTAGCCAAATGTCACTTCTTCAGACTGCTGCTTGAGTCATGCTAGCTTACTGGCTCAATAGATTCCAATATGAAAGACACTTAGACTCCCACAGGCTTTGATCAGGTTGCCTGAGCTTTATCAGATGTTTCTGGATAAGACTGAGTACTTTGTAAAAAATGGGCATGGGGTGAAAATGATCCAAAGGTTTGAAAAATCATAAGCCATGTGATAACTTATTTTCTTTATATCTTCCACAATTTCTGATGCAATACATTTAGAAGGGACACACTAAATATTTACTGAATGATGAAAAAAATTAATAAATAGGGAGCTGGAAGGAAAACGAGAGAAGGGCTTATTTGGTGTTTTCAGGATTTTGGTTTCCCAGACTTCCTTCTTTTCTTCTCTTCTGGGCCCACCTTTTTGCCATCTCACTGCTGATGAACAACTTCAGCTGAGAAAGTGTGAAAATGGGCATGATATATAGTGGTAACGTACCAGTCAGTTCTCTTTGTTAGCTGCTTTTGTAAAGGGCTTTGATGGGATACAGTGACACTTTGGGTGGAAAACAGGTAGTGAGAGCCTGGTTCTTTGTGCCAGAAACTGCTCTTCCTTCATTCAGATGTGCCGTGACTGGCTCCCACCTGAAGCCTCATCAGAGCTGCCTTGTCAGGTCTCTAGGATCTGATGAGCCCCATCTGTTTTTCTCACTTGGCGCGGGTTCCTCAGCGCCCTACCCATCTCTAGAATTTGGCTTTGGGCCCCCTTCTGCTCTACCCCTGTTTTGCTTGCCTTGGTTTTTTCAGTCTGTTATGCCTGTTCATTTGTGTCTGACCCACTACCTTGCTCTGACCTCTGACTGCTAGAACCTCTCCATTCTCACTGCTTGTGGAGTTCTGGATCCCCAGCTAGGTTTTGGACCTTGCCTGAACCCCCTCTCTGTTCTCCCCTTCATTCTAGCACTACAGTCTATGCTTTGCCTTAAGCTTTTCTGATACTAGCTCTTATTGCTATCTGTAGTTTTAATTCCGATGGCAGAATTGTTATCTCCTCTTATCTCAATAATAAGAGCTAGCTGTGGCTCAGTGATCTCTAAACCTAGAGGAAGTCACCATGTTCTATCATCAGTTTCCCTGTCTCCCTAACTAAAGCTAAGCTTCTTGAAGGCAGAGACAGCCATATGCACCTTTATTTCTCAATAAAATTTTGATGTCACCCGAATCAGAACTCTCAAGAAGTTACATTTCAACCAGAATCTAGTAAAGTTGAACCACTAAGTTTACAAACTAATGAGTTTCTAATAAATTAAAGATATATGATATGGGGCAGCATGGGGTAATAATGGGAAGGAGGGTGCAATTTGAAGTCACACGGACCTGGGTCTGAATTCTGGCTCTCTTAGCTAAGTCCTCAGCAAACTGGTTAACACCTCTGAGCTTTGGTAGTTTTACTGTAAAAATGTGATACCAGCTTTTAAGAGGCTGTTGTAAGGATCAGAAATAATGTATACAAAGTACTGGGTATATAGTAAGCCCTCAATAAATGGTAATGATTATTGTTGAAGCCAGAAAACCTGGATACCACTCTCAGCTTTATCACTTACTAGCTGTGTGATCTTAGACAAATCACTATTTTTCAGCCTTAGTTTCCCCTTTGTCAAATGGGGAGAATACCACCTTATCTCACAAGTTGTCAAGAAATTCAAAGATAGGGTATGTGAAAAATTACTTCATAAATTTTAACACATCATATTGATTTTAATGATTACTATTATGTATTAGAAAATTAAATGTATCTTTGTTCTTATGGCACCTGAGTTGAAAACAAAACTGAACAAAACGAAGCCCTAACAGGCAATAAAAGTAATCTATTAGATATTTTTGGCTAATAGGTTGTTTTTATGCTGATGCATGCTACTGAGTTTATAAATTATTAAAATAGGATAATTATCTCGTACATCGCTTGAGTCAGGCTAGCCAGAAAGACTGGTTACATAAATTATGGAGAACTTTTTCTAGTCCTCTGCCACTCTCAAGAAAATGGTAGTTTGGGATTATATATAGCAAAACCTTCTGAAATCGTACCCCATCATCCTAATAAGAGGTATTATAACACTTTTTTAAATCCCACAAATTGGTCTGACCTATAAAGATTTTTAAAACTCCCAGGACAAGGGCTGGCCCATGGCTCACTTGGCAGAGTGTGGTGCTGATGACACCAAGGCCACGGGTTTGGATCCCTATATAGGGATGGCCGGTTTGCTCACTTGGGAGAGCGTGGTGCTGACAACACCAAGTCAAGGGTTAAGATCCCCTTACCAGTCATCTAGGAAAAAAAACTCCCAGGACATTGGCTTGTATGCAGCTGTCAAGAGTGGAGGCAGAGCTCGAGGCCATGCCACCCCACTGGGCCTGGAGGCAGAGCCCTGACAGCCTCAAAAATCCCCTGAAAACACCCTCCTGTCTAAAGTCATGTCTCCCAGTCTATGAAACCTCTGTGTATATGTATTTAGAAGGATAAAGGCCATTTTTAGACAGTAGTGCCTATTCTTTAGGGTTCCAATTACGTAACTCTTGAAAATGAGTGAAGGCTTTCCCTGAACATTCTCTGAGGCACACACTAATGAATGCAATACTTTCATTGCTCCTGTAACAATCACTCCAGGGCTGCTGGCAAACGACCTTTTCTTCCATGAGCACAAATTTGCTTCCTGTACTAAAAAATGAGGAAAATCATTCTATTGATATGAAGGCCAATTTGAGCAGGCTGGTCAGGAAATAGAAAAGTGGAAATTCTCATTGCAACATCTTACATATTGTATAGCATCCCAGTCAAGATAAACATTACCAGCTGGTTTCTCACTTTTTTTTCTTCCATCTATATGACTTTAGTCCGTTGAGTCCTATTAACCACAAATCAAGTCATCTTAAAAGGCAGGGGAAGTACAGATTGAGACTGGCATTAACAAGCATGCAGAAAGATCAGTCGTGGTCCCAAATGAAATTATAAGGCCATTAGACAAGCATACTCAAATAAAACCAAGGTACAATATGAAAGGAACCAAAAGAACCCTTGTCTCCTGAAAAAAAAAAAAAACGTATCTGGTTAGGTTGAAAAAATAAATGCTACACTTTTTTTTCTTTTGTGACTGGTAAGGGGATCGCAACCCTTGGCTTGGTGTCGTCCACACCGCGCTCAGCCAGTGAGCGCACCGGCCATTCCTATATAGGATCCAAACCTGCAGCCTCGGCACTCCCCAGTGCCGCAGCGCTCCCAGTGCCGCACTCTCCTGAGTGAGCCACGGGTTCGGCCCAAATGCTACATTTTGATATGACAATTGCTTTCACAATAGAGACCTTATAAAATACAAAAAGAAAAAATCATATTTTAGAAAACAAGCTCATAGGGGCTAGCCAGTTAGCTCATGGTTAGAGCGTGGTGCTGATAACACCAAGGTCGAGGGTCTGGATCCCCATACTGGCCAGCTGCCAAAAAAAAAAAAAAAAAGAAAAAATCAAGCTCATGGTACTTTCGCCATTTCACTGGTTTCATATATGAACTGAGTTTTTAAAGTCTCTCTTTTTTTTTTTTTTAAATGTGGCAGAGTTGTAGAGACAGATTCCAAGACAATTGGAAAACAACCTGTCTGGATTTCCTCTGCTCATACTGTAGAGTCTCTAACTTTTTAAAGAGGCAATAAAACAAACAAAAAACTGGGAACAAGACTTTAAATTTCCTCTTTTCTATCCTTGTCCTTTTGTTTATCAATAGTTTTTATTTCTAAAATAAAATTTAACTCAGGGCCTGATGGAAGACCCCAGGTAATGTCTTTATTGACAGCAGAGAAACTCCTTAACTCTGAGACTTAGAATGTAAAGAAGAAGCAGAGAAGTGAAGACTGAAGGGAAAGGAGGGGACTACTGGAGAAACACGGGGGTCAGTCTAGGAAGGCACACTATCCCTTGGAGTTTAGTACCGATTAAATTACATAAATGCAAATTTGAAGGTTGGAAAAGATTGCACAAAAACCATACCCCTCAAACAACCAACCAACCAATCAGACAATTAAGCATTAAATATTATCCCTGAATAAGGTAGAAAAGATTGATATTATAAGGCAAGCTCCTGTGTCCATGAATGCAAATGAATAAACTGTCTTCAGGCTCGAATCGCATCTGGCTGCTCATGTGCTCAAGAAAGACTGACAGAAAGGGCCCTGCCATTTTGAAGTTGCTCAGGTGCACTGGGCTGGTTCAGTCAAGGCTATGCTAGTATGTGCTGCTCATGCTCTCTGTTCAGAGGCACACAGTTAGCATCCCTTTGGTTCCTTATGGATTAATAATTCTGTCCTCATGGAGGCTACAAGGAGGCATGGACTGCTGCAGGCTCTGCCTTGTGTCACATCCTTCTGCTTTTCCAAAGAGACGCCAAGCCTGGGCCATTTTGCGAAGTTTAGCAAGATTGGGTTTGATCTATGGGAAGAAAGAGAATAACTCTTATTAGCAATGTGAAAACCCAGGTAGCGTACAAATATGTATGGCTGTTCAAATCTGTTTATATTTCTAATTTCTGGTTTCAGAAAAGATTACAGTTTTTTTAGGATCAGTGAGACTGAAAACTTTTTTTTTTTCCTTTTTGTCTTTTTTTTACTGACCGGTAAAGGGATCGCAACCCTCGGTGTCGCGCCCGTACCGGGGACCGGCAACGGGATCGCAATCCTCGGTGTTGCGCCCGCACCGCGCTCAGCCAGTGAGCGGGAACCGGTCTCCACATGGGATCCGAACCCTCGGCGGGAGCGCCTCCATGCTCCCAAGCAGCGCACTCTCCAGCGCGCCACCGGGCCGGCCCTGAAAACTTTTAAGTCTAGATTCCCATCCCTTCAGCAATGGGGACAAAACTTTTTTCATTTTTAGTTTGTCATGTGAAATAAAGAGTTTTTAATGGAATAAAATCAACTGGATGAGTCAGACAACATTAGTACCTGAAAACTCCATTCAAGAAAAGACTTTTATAGCCCTTAGCAGGAAAGATAAACAAAAGAAAAGATTCTGAAAAGCAGCAACACGGATATTCCTATTATGCTCTCATGTTCTCTTTCATTTAAGATTATAACAAGAACAGAAAATGTTCTTAATTTAAACCACTCTGTGTCTTTATTGCATTATCCACATCATTGTTCATGGGCTATTGAGTAATCAGGGCCAAAGCATTATGTAGAGATCTCCTAAGCTTGGTTCCCTACCTGACGATCCTCAAACCACAACTCAATAGCTCTATGGAGATGGCTGGCTATGGTCACAGGTCACCATTTCCAGCATGTACTATCAAGAAACTGGATATTTAGGCCATATTTTGCCAAAAGTGAGTTTGTTTGTGTTTCTACCAACCTTCTGTAATCTCAGGAAGAACTTCTGCATCTTATTATCAAACGTAAAACCAGTAGGCAACAGATGTTCAGGATACCTAAGTCTGCACGTGTTAAGCTTAAAAATACAAAGCCATTATGTGGATAATCTGACAGTTCAGTCTAAACTCCATTTTGAATTTGAGCTGGAAGATGAAATGGGTAAGGCCTTATATGAAACCTCAAATGCATATTTTTCAAAACTCTGATTTCTGGAAAGGATTAAGACAGATTACATTTGTATAGTGGGAGCTGGAAATGAAAGAGAAGATAAACTTTGCTCCCTCCTGCTCCTGTTAGTCATTAATGTACCTGTTTTTCCTGCTCCAAGTGGTCTATGTCAGCTAATGGCAGCATAGAAGGTCTCCCATGAGCACACTGGAATGGCAGCTGGCACCAGGACAGAGCTTCAATAAGGCGATAGCTCTCCTCTAGGTTCAGGCCATCATTAAACTTAATGGCTCCTAAATGAAAGAGAGAAACAAGAAGGTGATGGTGTGTAAGGTGGAAAGCCAATGCTGACCCTGGGTCAGAGCCAAATATCTGGAAAAAGTAACATGTTTCTTAGGCTTCTTTAATGTGGCTTTAATATTGCCTGAAATTGGCACTTATGGCCATGGATGAAACTAAGACTTCAGACTGACCTCTGTCTCTCATCTTTTCCTTAGGGAGTATTTGTCTTTTTAATTCCTGTAAGAGGCGTTCTTTAACTTGTTAGGATCTTGCTTTCGGAGTTTTTCTCAAAGAGGAAAGAACAATATTTCTGCCTCCTATGGGTTTGTGAAGTTGAGATTATCTTTTGTCAATGAACTGTCCAATAGCAATCTCTGATTGTTTCCTTACTTACAATGTCCATTTTATTTGCTTCTTTTTTTCTAATTTCCATAATAATCTTCCTAATCTAAACTCTCATATTGTTAGAACCTGCCTTATGAGTATATTAATTCACTCAGTCAACAAATATTTATTAAGTGTATACTTTGTATTAGGAGCTTTGCCAGGCAGTGAATGAGACAGATGACCTCCATCTTCATGGAGCTTATGGTCTAACAGGTGAGATGAACATTAAACAAATAACTACACAACACTTTTTTTTTTTTTTTAAAGATGACCAATAAGGGGATCTTAACCCTTGACTTGGTGTTGTCAGCACCACGCTCACCCAGTGAGCAAACCGGCCATCCCTATGTAGGGATCCGAATCTGTGGCTTTGGTGTTATCAGCACCGCACTCTCCTGAGTGAGCCACGGGCCAGCCCTAACTACACAACAATTTAAATTATAAATATAAGTACTATAAAATACAGAATATGAATATATAATAGGAAGACCAAACCCAGTTAGGAGATCAGGGAAGGCATTCCTGGCAAAAATGATATTTAAGCTGAGACCTTAGGTTAAGAAAGATATGGCTAATTGAAGAAGGAACAGAAAGGTATTTCAGGCAGAGGAAAAGGCACGCACAAAGGTCTGGAGACTTAGAGAAGATTAGCACACAGGAAGAACAAGAACAAAGCAGCAGGTGAAATGTAATGAGCAAGGTGGATAGTGATGTGACATGAAGCTGGAGAGGCAGGCAGGGGCCAAATCATGAAGACCCTTGTAGGCCATGGTAAAGAATAAAATTTTTATCCTAAAAGCAATGGGTAGTCACTGACACAATTTAGTTAGAATGACATGCTCAGAGGGATGTCTCAAAAAAATTCCTCTGGGTGCTGAGGAAAGAATGGTTTGAAGGGGAGCCAAAACTGATGTGAGGAACTAAATAAGAGGACTCAGCAGTGGCGAGAACAAGGACGTAGCAGTGGAGACACATCAAATCAGATATATTTTGAAGGCAGTGATGATGAAATTTGGTGATGAGGTAGATATGAGGAGCAAAGATAGGATAAAGGGACAAAGGACTTTAGGATATTTGCAGGAGACAAACTAACAATGGACTGGTTACTAAGCTGGGAAAGTCAGGAACTGAAGAGATGAGAAGGTTGATGGAGAGGATAAAACTGGGCCGAGGGGCCAGTGGATTGGAGACCCACTTGTGGCCAAATGATAGTTGCAGGGGATTCTGTAGCTGTCATGATCCCTCAAGTAAGTTCTTCCAATACCGTTTTCTATATTTTATCATATCACCCTACTCAGGAACCCGCAATGCTTCTAATGTCTTCTGTATCAAATCTAAAGGTTTGCTGTGACCCAGGCTTCTGTTCTTTCTTACCAGCCTAATTTCTTGATACTCTTTGCTGCTCCTCATATAATTAATTTGTATTCTGCCTTTGCATCTCTGCTAGGGCTGTTTCCTTGCACTGTGGTGAACCCCCCTTCCATGCTATGATTTCACATCCCTCAGCAAATTAAAAACTCAAAACAAAATGCATCTACCCCAGGGGCCGGCCCGGTGGCGCACTGGATAGTGCGCCGCTTGGGAAGCACGGCGGCACTCCCGTCCGAGGGTTCGGATCCCACATACAGACTGGCTCCCGCTCACTGGCTGAGCGAGGCGCGGGAGCAGCGCCGAGGCTTGCGATCCCGTTGCCGGTCCCCGGTCCGGTACGGGGGCAACACTGAGGGTTGCGATCCGTTGCCGGACACGGAAAAAAGACAAAAGACAAAAAAAAAAAAAAAATGCATCTACCCCAGGAGTTTCTTCCCCCCTCATATAAGTCAGTCTGTTTTTTTTTTTTTTTTTTTTTCTTTTTTCGTGTCCGGCAATGGATCGCAACCCTCAGTGTTGCCCCCGTACCGGACCGGGGA